GATTAAATTTTTATTTCTTTCTTTTACAAATATACAAAGTCATGTGGAAGTGGAACAGATTTGTGGTTGAGCACATGTGAAGCTGACAGGGATGGACTGATTTCTCCACCTGTCCTTCTAGCTGGCATGGCAGCCAACCTTTACCAAGGATGCTCTACAAGATGTGGTCCAGATATAAGCCAAAGGAAGCATCCCTCACTTTGGTCAGGGGGAATACTTGACAACAGGATTGTCAGAGAACACCAATTGAAATGAAAACGGAAGTGAAAATTGCTGCGGCTTATATGCTCCTTTTGTGGTCAAGAATGGAAATCAGTTAAGCAAATACAATTGGTATTCATACACATCATTGTGTTTTTGTTTTGTTTAATCCTGCAAACAATTCTTTTTGTAACATTGACGTTTCTTTTACATTGAAATGAATGTCAGTTACATAAGCAGTTACATAAGTTACACAACTTATGATACCGCATTTACTCAAATCTAATGCTCATCTTTTTTGGACAAATTACGTTGCAAAAATGAAGGTACACATTAGATTCAATGACACATTCGCCAGCAAATACTTTTTTTGAAATTCTGAAAATTGAGGTGCTCTTTGGATTCAATGGTGCATTAGACTCGAACAAAAACGGTAAGTAGTGGACAGCGAGGAGCATAATGCAGTATTTGGTGGAAACTGGACTGCAGTAAAACGGAAACAGTGCTGTTGGTGACAAAGACAGGTTGGTATGAAAATTTCTGCATTCTTACGTCCCTATGTGACAGTAATCAACATCTACAGGGTGTGTGTGTGTGTGTGTGTGTGTGTGTGTGTGTGTAGGGGAAACACTGTTCATAAAGATACCAACATAATGGTACAGTATAGCTGCTGGTACAAAGAGTAAAAAGTGGCAGAGAGGAATGTTTCTTCTACTTTCCCAGCCAATACAGACACGATTAACTAACATGACAAGTCAATGCAGGCCACATTCTACCCCTCCACCCGCTGCTTGTTTCTTTGGTGTAGGGAAGATTTATGTTCCTTTCTGAAAACGACGAGGATTACTCTGCAAGAAAGACTTCAGTTTCTTTAGTGTCTGTCTCCACAGCAGCGATGTGTTTCCTTTTTATGGCTTTGGGCAATCTGGGTTGCCCCCAAATCTGAGAAATATGGCACATGTCATGGCCTGCACCCACAAAATTAGGTAAGTTCATGTGTCCATGAATTTGGTCTCCACCTCCATCGTTCTACCTGGACACTGAGGTCCAGCGCCAAGGGCCTTCTGGCAGTTCCCTCACTGCGAGAAGCTAAGTTACAGGGAACCAGGCAGAGGGCCTTCTCGGTAGTGGCACCCGCCCTGTGGAACGCTCTCCCACCAGATGTCAAAGAGAACTACCAGACTTTTAGATGACATCTGAAGGCAGCTCTGTTTAGGGGAGCTTTTAATGTTTGATGGAATTACTGTATTTTAATATTGTGTTGGAAGCCGCCCAGAGTGGCTGGGGAAACGCAGCCAGATGGGTGGGGTATAAATACATGGCTGGGGAAACCCAGCCAGATGGGTGGGGTATGTAACCTCGGGTTACATACGCTTCAGGTTACAGACGCTTCAGGTTACATACGCTTCAGGTTACAGACTCCGCTAACCCAGAAGTAGTACCTCGGGTTAGGAACTTTGCTTCAGGATGAGAACAGAAATCGTGCTCTGGCAGTGCAGCAGCAGCAGGAGGCCCCATTAGCTAAAGTGGTGCTTCAGGTTAAGAACAGTTTCAGGTTAAGAACAGACCTCTGGAATGAATTAAGTACTTAACCCGAGGTACCACTGTAATAAATTATTATTATTATTATTGGCCATACTCATGAGACTTGCAGCTGGAGGCCTGGAGGTAAAGTCCCAAGGGCCAGATAGAGAGGCTTGAGGGCCACATTCAGCTCCCAGGCATGAGTTCCTCCATGCCTGCTTGAGGAAGGGTCAGGGATGGAATAATTGCATGCACGTTGTGTTCTTTAGCACTGGCATCTTAAACAACATAGTTCCCTTCTGAATGCCAAAAACTGAACAGATTGGTCCTCTGTGCAAGTTTAGAATCATTCCAAGGGGTGAACTTCATTCTGAAAGCTGGCCTCATGCTGCTCCCCTTTCATTGCTCACCGCCTCCAAACAAATGCATGAACTGGGGCTGTGTATTTCCTGATAATGCAACGGGGATTGACTCACTGTTCCTCTCCAGCTGCCTGTGAGCATGATGCTTTGAGCGAAAGCCTTTTGAAATTTACGACGGTTATCAATGTGTTTCACTCAGTATGTAGGAGAAAATATGAGAAACATATTTCACGATAAAGTAGGTTTCTAGTTAACAGGACAAAATGAGAGTAAAGCAATAGATCAGTGTAATATGTCAAGCAAGAGGGAAGTTCAATTTATTGGAAATAAATAATACGCAACATTCGCAAGTACATAATATGGGGGGTGGGGAATTGATTCAGGAAATAGAAAAGAAAACTCTTCTATTTTGCACAAGTGATTCCATTTTGCAATTAACAGACCTGATTAACAAATCTGTTCATTTATGACAGATCTCTATTCATGGTTAAACAGAAGTTCAATATTGATGGTGTTGTTAACAATTCACCTCTATCTCATTCTTGGAAGCATATACGATTGCTTTAAAAATAAGGGAATTGTTCTCCCAATTCCTGCTGGGTGGCAAAGCCCAGTGCTGCCCTCCTCCCTCAATCTTCTTGGTGTATTTTCATGGATGAGAACATCATCATCATCACTGAAATTTATATCCCACCCTTCCTCTCAAAAGAGCCTAAGGTGTCATGTCACCGCACACCAGCCATGACCCAGAAACCAAAGGAAATCAATAGAATTAAGGTCCGTCCAGACTGTCACTACTTTCTAGGAGGAATGCACTGAATAATAATAATAATAATAATAATAATAATAATAATTATTTTTATTCTTATTATTATTATTGTTGTTGTTGTTATTATTATTTATACCCCGCCCTCCCCAGCCAAAACCGGACTCAGAGTGGCTAACATCAAATGTATAAGACATTAGCATAAAATCAGGAAATCAATTAAATTACACCCTAAAATCAGATCAGGATCAGAATAAAATCCAATCAGATGGCAACCTGCAGATTAGGGTTGGGGACCTTAATGCTGAACTTATACGAGCCTGTGAGAAAAATTGGGAGGCCATTTTCATGCAGTTCTTATGAAAGGGGAGAAGGAGTCAGACTGAACACCGACCAAAGGCCTGACGGAACAGCTCCATCTTGCAGGCCCTGCGGAAAGATGTCAAATCCCGCAGGGCCCTAGAGGAGGCCAGTCTAATCTCCTTAAGGCTCAGGACCTCAAGGAGCGTAAGGTCCTCCGTGGGGCATATTTGTTTCATAAAAATGAACAAAGATGTATAAACACCCGGCAAGCAAATTCGGATGAATTCAGGATTATTCCTCCTTGTCATATAACTGTCCTGCAAGCAAATCAGAAGAACTGCCCAATAAACACGGGCCGTAGTCTGACCTCTGTGTAAGCTTCGTGCAAGCAAATCAGGATGAAAGATGATGAAATAGATTGTCTGGAAGAGTCCTTAAAATCCCCAGTTCAGTGGCATGTGTCTGGCGATGATTTATTTTTAGCATCTAAAAGGCATTAGCCTTGGATTTCTAAAATAATAATCATAGAATCCCACTGTTCTCCTAACATTAGAAGATCATATTTTGCAACGTCTCAGATAAGATGCAATTTGACACTGCAAACAGCAGAGAATCCCACAGCAAATCTTTGCTTTGATCACCCAAGTGGGCAAATAGAGGAAAATGGGTTCTTCTAACGACGGGATAAATAGTAAGGAAACATACCTAATATCCTTTTGTGCACGTCCTGGGAGACAGAGAGGAAGCTTTGTGGTTCCTAAAGTGAGCAAACATTGGGGTCATGGAAGTAGCATGGTCACCTGATTCATTATTATTTTTATTATTGCAAGGTAAGGTTTTTCCCACGGGGTGGGGAAAAGCCTTTGTCTGGAAAGCAGGGGTGACCATGTTTTATCAGCACATACTGCTGTCTTTGTGAATGTATTTGAGTATGTTTATCCTGAGAAAATACAGCCCTGTTTGTTTCTCCATAAGTAGTCTTTGTTACCCAGTCTTGACCTCTTGGCCTCTGATTAGGTGGCTAATTCCAAGGGTGAGATTCTTATCACTATGGTCATGACAAATAACTGTGTCTATACCCACTGAACATTGTGTGAATTGTTTGTGGAGAATGGGGTCTCCCGGATGCGATCTGTAGTTTACGCCTGATTTACACACGTGGTGGCACCCATGTTATCTCCTGGGTTGGCGAGACCCGGACAACTAACAGGCTTGTGGGCCAGTTGAAATAGTGTGAAGGTGCTAATTCCGTCAGCATCTCTACATGAAACCCGTAGCTGTGACCCCTGTCATTTGCATGACCACAGCAGCCGACGGTCAAGCAGCAACCATTACTTAAATAGGGTGCCTGTAGCTCAAAGGCAAGGGACGCAGGTGGCGCTGTGGGTTAAACCACAGAGCCTAGGACTTGCCGATCAGAAGGTCGGCGGTTCGAACCCCCACGACGGGGTGAGCTCCTGTTGCTTGGTCCCTGCTCCTGCCAACCTAGCACTTCGAAAGCACATCAAAGTGCAAGTAGATAAATAGGTACCACTCCAGCGGGAAGGTAAACGGCGTTTCCGTGCGCTGCTCTGGTTCGCCAGAAGCGGCCTAGTCATGCTGGCCACATGCTGGCCAATAAAGCGAGATGAGCGCCGCAACCCCAGAGTCGGTCACGACTGGACCTAATGGTCAGGGGTCCCTTTACCTCTACCTTTAGCTCAAAAGCAGAACACATGCATGACATGAGAAAGGTTCCAGCATCTCCGATAAGGACAGGAACCATAGAACCATAGAATTGTAGAGTTGGATGGGAACCTGAGGATCATCTAAGTCCAATCCCCTGCAATGCAGGACTATACAGCTGTCGCTTACGGAGAATCGAACCTGCAAACCTTGGCATTATCAACACCATGCTCTAATCTACTGAGCTATCCAGCTTGACACTCTGTCTGGAGATGAGTTGCCTATTAGTGTAGACAATATTGAGCTACATAGACCAAGGTATGTCTAGCATCCATGTGACTGTTCACAAGTCCTAAGTACAGTGGTACCTCGGTTTAAGAACAGTCTGGTTTAAGAACAATTTGGTTTACAAACTCCGCAAAACCGGAAATAGTGTCCTGGTTTGAGAACTTTACCTTGGCCTAAGAATGGAATCCAAATGGTGGAAGGGCACCAGCGGCAGGAGGCCTCATTAGGGGAAGCACGCCTTGGTTTAAGAACTGTGTCAGTTGAAGAACAGACTTCCGGAATGGATTAAATTCATAAACCAAGGTACCACTGTATCTCTGGACTCTTTTCAGTGGGTCGTCTTGCCAGTAGAAACTTTATATGCATATCTATCTTGTCAGAGTGCATTGGAAAGAGTTCATGGTTCTTGGTGGAGCTAAAACATCTCAGAGGGAGAGGTCCTTTGACATCATGGACGTTGGCCTGGTACCCATGTCAGGAGCAGCCAGGGCAGTGCCACAAAGCTGCCCTCCTGTCACTGCTGCTTACCTGGATAGGGTGGTGCAGGGTGGAGGCAAGATCTGGCGTTGCACGAGAAGACTGCTGGGAGTGGCAGCTTTTGGAAGACATCTTTGCTCTTCTTTATCCCATCCATTTTGTGTCTGGCAAAATATAAGCAAACAAACCACCACCAGCAGCAGAAGGGCTCTGAAATATTCCACTGTCTGCGGAAGGACTTCCTGTCATCGTCGCCTCTGGTCTAAACACCAAATGCTAACATTTATGATGTATAATGTCCCCGGCTACCACGCATGGCCGCAATTTGGGCACACCTGCCATTAACACTGGTGTGGCAGTTATTTTACTGGGGGTGACAGATTGTGAGGTAGGGAGAGTAATTCAGACTATTACCCAGGTGAAGGCATGAAAGCTCGGTGATATATGAAGACCACTTAAATTCATTGTATCTTGTACATCACATCTTTGATAGATTATAGCTGTGGCATTAAAATGGAAATGGTTTCTCTGAGGCCTGACAGGGGCTGGGGTGACCCGTGACCTCCCTCTGAGGAATGTGACTGACCGAATTATCAGTTAAGAGAAAAATCTACGGGGAATAGACTCACAGTGATGGAGAATACACCATGCGCATATATATATATATATATATATATATATATATATATATATATAAACTTTGAGCTTGATTGAAAGCTGCAGCATTCAAAATGTCACTCTTTCTCCTCACGGTTCCTGGTCCGTCCCTCATCCCCTTCCCTCCCTCCCCAAACCGCCTCAAGCCTCCTCATCTCTGTGCTTTCATACCAGCAGGCCTCCCGATATTGATTGAAAAATTGTTATTAGAGATAGGAGGCCTCCTGCATGCTGCCTAGTGATTTAATCTGGAAAACATTTAATTTTATGAAGCGGTAAATGATCGTGGCACGCTCCCTTGTGTTTGGGAGCAGCTGGCTCTTTAGCGGCTCACCCTTACTGGTCCCCTGTGTCCTCTTCGCAATCATGTGCTTCCTTCCCCTTTGCTTAACAAGTTATTTCAATTTCTAAAACGAATGCCGAACAAGAGAAAGACAACATGCAAATTGAGAGCTGGGGAGCGCCATTCACACATGAAAAAACACCCTTTGGAATTCCCTCAACTCTGCCCTCCCCTCCCGCTCCCTCCCCCTCTTTGCATCTGTCATGAAAGGGAGGGAGCGTGTGGTGGGGTATTTTCCCTCCCCCTTTTTTAAAAAGAAGAACCAGAGTCTATGTTCTCATCAAATTGTTTTTACCAATGACCTGACACCACCATCTATAATTAATTACATCATTTACATTAGACTATTGACTAAACAAATACATAAATCATAGGCAGAGTCAATAGATGCAGACATATTTAATCATGTTCTAAATAATGATTACTGCTCCCATAATGCAATAATTATTTTCAGCAGCTGACTTGAATTAATCTTCTGTCAAAGTGCCATCTGAGGAAAGAAAGCCGACAGAGAGGAAGATGGAGAAGGAAGCATCCTCGAAGGAGGGACTGTCTCAGTTGTCTCCCTTTTATTCTCCTGTCACCTCAGCTCCCCCCCCCCACTCTCTGGGCCTCATTCTGCCAGGGTTGGGTGCTTCCTAGACCATTCATTTGCATTCGGCTCTCAGCATTTGTGGCCAGAGTTGTAGTGACCGCACACCTGAAGGGGTGTATGCATGCACTGGTTTATTTTCCCTAGCCTTCGCTAGGCCTTCATGGTGATCACTTTGAAAATCTTGTCTTGCTTGGATCAGTTGCACTGAGACCATGCAGTTATCCCCTGGGGCACTGTGTTAAAAGCTGGACTGGCTTGAAGATGGGCAGTTTCCTCCATATCAGCTTGCAAAGATGGAAGGGCATAGGAAATCCTATGAATCAGATTGCAGCTGTCAATTATGGGGGAAACTTGCTATCCTGATCTTTATCCGGCCCCACTCCCTACAAAACATTACAAAACATTTGAATTCTGCATACATTTGAACATGCCGTTTGGAGTCTGTTTTTTGCACAGTGGTACATCAATTTTCGAACGTCTCCGTTGACGAACATTTCAGTTTTCGAATGCTGTAAACCTGAACACACCTCGGAAGTCGAACATGCCATGTGGCTTCCGTACTGAGTTTTCCGTATTGAGTTTTCGGTTTTTGAACGTTTCAGAACGGTCTTCCGGAACGGATTACATTTCAAAACTGAGGTACAATCATACCTCATGTTGTGTTAGGTTCATGTTGTGTCTTTTTGGCTTGCGAACACTGCAAACCTGGAAGTGTATACTTCTGCGTTTCGCCGTGTGTGCGCAGAAGTGTTCTGTGCACTTCGCACATGCGCAGACTTTTAGTTTTAGTTGCAGACTTTTCGGGGTACAAACGGCACCCCAGAACTGATCGTGTCCACAACTAGAGGTACCACTGTACCACTGTTGATATATAAATACCATCAATCAATCAATCAATCAATCAAACAGTCAGTCAATCATATTGTATTATTGTAGGTCACAGCTACATCATACATTTAAAGCACTCTTACACCTCTCTAACAGTCATGGCTTCCCCCCAGAGAATCCTGGGAACTATAGCTTAATAAGGGCACTGACCTCACAGAGCTACAATTCCCAACTATAGTTCTCAGGATTTTTCATGACTGTTAAAGGGGTACAAGAGTGCTTCAAACGTGTGGTGTGGATAGGCTCAAAGCTTTTTTAAAAGCATAATTTGAGTTAGAAGATTATGTCCTAGAATGTCTATTGAACAGCAGGTCAAACATTTCATTAATAAATATAATCAAGCAAAACCACTTTGCTTTGCTTAGTTTGTAATCTCCCCTCCCCTTTATACTTTGCCAAAAATCTGCAAAGTGTCTGAACAGTGCCAATATTTCCACGATCCCTGCAGACCTGCAAGTCATGACTTGGCATATCTTCTGACAAGGAGTGGTGGGTGGCAAAAAAATAAATGTAAAGTTAGGATGCTACTTAATTACAGAGATCTTAGTCAATTATGCTATGGTTTTTTAATCAATTAAATCCACACAAATTTGCATACAAAAGCAAATGTCTGGACAAAAAGAGCATTCATTATTTTTATATTGCTCATGCACTGCCATACAGGTGCCATCACAGAAGGGGCATCATGCAAATACCGCTGTGTAGAACTTTGGACCTCCCCAGCGCCCTCATTGAAATTTGTGGGTGCCCAGGCCCCCATGGCCCCACAAGGATGACATAGGTATGACAGCTATTATAAGCCCCTTTCAGTCCAGTCATATGACCTAGCAAACTTGGTGGAACTTAGTCAGCAAGAATGGTGCTCAGGGTAGTGTAAATCAAATTGCTACAAATCCTTCCCAAATGGTGTTTGGAAGAAGGGTAACTTGCCTTGTGTAAGTATTGTCTACTTTCTATAGTTAAGATTGCTCTGTTAGTGGACCTGACAAGTAACTCTGCCTGTCTGCCTGTCTCTCTCTTTCTCTCAGTCCTCTCCTCACCCCAACACATGGAAATATGGAGGGTGAGATGAATGATTTACAATTTGGTGTTGTAAGGAGGACAACTGGCTAGATAACACGTGTGAAACATTTTGAACGCTTGAAAGTACCATACAAATATTGATTATTACTGCAGAAGAAGAAGAAGAAGTGGCTAACATTCTCCTTTCCCTTCTTCCCCCACAACAAACACTCTGTGAGGTGAGTGGGGCTGAGAGACTTCAAAGAAGTGTGACTGGCCCAAGGTCACCCAGCAGCTGCATGTGGAGGAGTGGAGACACGAACCCAGTTCCCCAGATTACGAGTCTGTCGCTTTTAACCACTACACTACACTGGCTGTACATTTAGAATGCTCTCATCACAGGTTACCCTGTTCTCAGAGTGGCCAACCACATGCCTATGAGTTTCTTTGCTACTGTAGCTTCCAGCAACTAGCATTCAGAAGCATATTGTCTCTGACAGTGGAAGCAGAATGTAGCCATCAGGCCTTGTTGTTGTTTAGTCGTTTAGTCTTGTCCGACTCTTCATGACCCCATGGACCAGAGCACGTCAGGTACTCCTGTCTTCGCCATCAGGCCTAGTAGCCATCAATAGCCTGGTCTTCCATGAATTGATCTAATCCTCTTCTAAAGCCATCTAAGCTGCGGGCCATCACTGTGACTGTCTCCTGTGAGAGGCTATCCCAACTTTAATTATGAAGATCTGCTTTATTTTGTCCACCACTTAGCTTCATTGGACGTCCCCAAATTCTAGGATTATGAGAAAGGGAGAAAAACCTGCATGATTAATGAATTAATCAGTTAGTTGTATTGATTAATGCTTTCAACCCTAAATATGTACATGATTTAATTTACTATATTAGGGATTACAAGACAGTTGCTTTTAAGAGAGAGAGAGAAATTTCTATATTATATAATTGTGCAATCTCATTGTGTGCTCACTGGAAGGACAGATCCTGAAGCTGAGGCTCC